GCCTGCAAATGCTAATTATGAAGAAGGGTATCTTATCAGACCCTCCCAGAAGGCATAAGGGTGTTAAGAATTCCAGTACTTGGGGTGGGTGACCTCCCATGGAGATTTTTTTTAAAAGGGCTCCTTTAAACATTTTTTATTTTTATTAAAAGATTTATGTGTATGAATGTCTTATCTGAATGTTTGTATGTGCACCATATACATGAGGTGGAAGAGGGCATCTCCTGGAACTAGTTATAGACAGCTGTGAGCTACTTGAAAGTAAACCTGGGTCCTCTGCAAGAGCAGCCAGTGCTCTTAACTGTTGAGCCATCTCTCCAGCCCCTCCATAGGAATTTTTGGCCCTGGGTGCCTTTAAAACAGCAAAGGTTATTGCTATCACTGCAAGCCCCTGTTACTGAAGACACTATCATGCTTTGATTGTAGGACTTGGAGAAATAAAAGCTAGGATTGGGCAGGAAGTATTACCTCCTTGTGGTCTCCCTCCTGTAGGACCAGAAATTGCTACTAGGGTTGCTGGACAGAATTAAGGCCCAAATTCCTACTCAGTTGTAGATCCTGTTTGCTTCATACTGAAAGTGCCAGGCAAGAGGTACCAGCCAGTGAGATAGTGGCTCAACCATGGACAGAACCAACTTTCTGATTGGATCTGACGCCTGATTCACAGTGGCTAATTTACATCTGGTACTGGGAATTTAGACAAAGCCTGTGACGAGTGAAGACATAGGCTTGGATAGAGAAGCAACTACTATTGCTTGGTTTAGTGATGTGAGGTGTTCTCCCCACATTTGTGTTTATAATCACAGGTTATTACTGTAGTCTGTGTCCATGTGGCTACCTTTCTGTTTTCATCCTCTTCCTTACATTGGGTTCCCTTCTCCAAAAATATAAGATTCACCAATAGCTACATTCTAGAGACAGGGTTTCATAGAGGGCCTCAAGCTTTTACTTAATGTCCTTAGAGGCTCGGGATCCCTTGGGGAGACTGGAAATATTGGAAGAACAAGAGTAGTCTGTTTAGGGTAGCGGTTTTCAACCTTACTAATGCAGCGACCCTTTAGTACAGTTCTTCATGTTGTGATTCCTCAAGCACAAAATTATTTTCATTACTACTTTATAACTATAATTCTGCTACTGTTATCAACTGTAGCATGAAAGGGTTGTTCAACCACAAAAGGATCTTGACCTACAGGTTGAGAACCACTGGTCTAGGGCCATCTGCTGATCTAAACTGTTGCCATTTTCAGTTCTTCTGGACCTGATCACAAAAGACCATCACAGCTGGGCCTGTTGACTGCTGGTGTTCCCTCATAGAAGGGAGGGTTCCAGAAGGTCATGGGACTCGTCTAACCAGTTGTGTACAAGTCTGCCCTAGTTACATGTGACCTAAGGGACGAGCCAGAGTACACAGGCTGGGAAGAACGAGGGGAAAGGACTCCATCCATGTAATCACAGAGGACTCACCATTCATGCTGGGTGTGGACTGTCCAGTGTGGCTGTTTTAAGGTCACCCATGCTCCTGGCCCCTGCTTTCTAGGCAGGTCTAGTATACTCATTGACTCCCCAGGGTCAACTCTGGAGCAATTGTTCCTCAGTTTGTTGTTGAGATCACAGGAAGGAGTAGTAGACATTGTTGTCTTGTCCAGGGAAGGAATTTTATCATTTCTTTACACACTGTGCTAAACTAGGGGGTTAGGGATGCTCTTCAATAATGAACAACATGGGTTGTTCAGGGAGCTAAATGAGGCTGCTACATGCAGGGTGCCAAAGAAGTTAGCCAGGGGCAGGGCATGCCCACAGCAGCTGCCATAGTCAGGCAGTGTGGACCAGCTGGTTTGTGAGACATGATGGGGAGAGGGAATGGAGAGGATGGTGGACTTAATTGGCACTGGGTTAAAAGCAGGCACAAGCCATATTGGTGTGTGTCTTAAGATGTAAGAAATTTCTGCAAAAGGTTGGGTTTTTGAAAATATCCAAAACAAATGGGTTAAGATAAGTGATCATTTACTAAAAGCCCCATCTCTTAAAGGAGGCAAATGGAAAACCACAGAGATGTCAGAGAGAGTTATCAAAGGACCATGTGGGAGGAAAGAAAGTCTTCCAGCATCGTGGGAATTCTTCTAAGCAGGAAGTTAAAGCCTCAGCACTCGGTTCTTTTAGATTCTTGTGTCTTCTGAGAGCACAGAAAAGAGCTTTGCACACTGAATGGCTCTGCTGAGTTGGGAACCTGTGAAGAATCCTGTTGGCCACACAATCTGTCCTCTGGAGTTTTGTTTTTTTTTTTTTCCCCCCTGGTTTTCACACTAAAGAAAATGTCCTGATGGCAGGCGTCTTTAGTGAGCTTCCAGCAACGAACAGGCTGCCTCTAGTCATCTCTTGCTATGAGACCATGGTGCTCTGGGCCAAGCTCAGGGCCTTCTGTGAGGAAAGGGTTGTGACAAGTGGCAACAGCAGTCTTCAGAGGGCTCACCTTCAGAAGGGCACCACTGCAGTCACTTGGATGGTCTTGATCCTGGCCTGGAAGGCTGTGAAAGTTGGTGCAAGAGGGTGGAGAGAAGGTGCACTCTGAAACAGCGACCTAAGCATTTTCTTTGACTTCACTGAAGTTCACCAGGACTCATAGGTGAATGTAACTCACACACGGGGCCTCAAAATAAGCATTTGGATAATGGCATGCCTTTGAATAATAAGGCTATAAAAATTCTAAATGATTACTTTTAAGCAAAATCAGTGATTTTTATTTCCCTTATTTCTTAATCAGGCAGCTAGAGTGAAAAGATTTTGTAAAACTAATGTTAAGATTTGACATCAGAGCTGTCACGAACTAAGGATATAGCTCTGTGGTAGAACACTTGCCTAGCATGCACAAAACCCTAGCTTCTACCCCCAGTGCAGGGAAAACAGCCCTCAAGACTCAGTGACTGAGCAAAGCTGCGGTCCTTTCCTCTCCCACATGCTCTTCCTCTGGAAGAGCAGCCAGTGCTCTTGACTGCTTAGCCACTTCTCCAGCCCTCTTTCCTTCATTCTTGAGCTCAAACACCACCCACATGTTCATTCAAAAGCTTGGAGCATCTTGAGAAGTCCTTTGCAGCAGTGACATCACAATCCCAGAGGGGTGCAAGGTTATCTCACCAGTACAGATAACCACAGGCATGGCTATTTAGATATTTAATTTATTAAATTATATAACAAAGTTTTTTCTATACAGTCAGAAAATGCACATTTAGATGAGAACAAAAATTAAGTACAAATACAATAATATTGGTTCCAAGAAGCTATTTTAAAAGCAAAAAATTAGAAAGTGCATTTGGAAAAGAATAGATTAAAAAAAATCAGTATTGGCATTTTTCATGAGGAATAGTCTTCCATCAGAATAAAGTGTGATCAGAACTGATTCTGCTCCCATCTCTTAAGAGCTACTAGGGTGTGGTACAAGCATTTTGGTACTATGATTTTAGATCAAATTCCAAAGAAAGAGAGGGGAGAGAGATAGACCCCAGCTTCTCACCCAGATACCATGCTCATACCCTACTTCTTGTCCCTAACTCCCTGAGAAAGGGATGTGTGGACACACACAGGAATGAACAAGCCAAGTTTGGGACCACAGTGGGAAATTTTACTTTTTTCTTTTTTTTTTTTTTTTTGGAAGATTCTACTGTAAAGGGAGAATGGAGCACACACAGTCATTTGAGTAGGTTTGTTTTCTCTGTCACATATGCCACAAATGACCAGGGCACAGCCAATTATCCCAACAACTTAATATTACAAGCTTGCAAACTCAATGAATTTCCAAAAACCGTATCTAGTTAAGGACAGAAGGTGAAGTCAGAAAGGTCAGACCCGTTCTTAAGAGCCACTCCCTTGGTTCCAATCATCAGCAATGAGACAGTAGTGGTGGAGGTGAAGGCCAAGGTCCCTCTACTCTATGGCCCCAGGTTACAGCATCAGGACCAGTGAGCATCTCCCTTCAAAGATCCACACCCAGCATGTAAGTGCTCAGGTGTCTGGTTCTAGGAATTGAGTATCCTTACTCATCTCCATTCTTAGAAGATCCCCACATTTGGTTTGAGTGCCAGAAGAAAGGAAAAAGACATTCTTAATAAAAGTAAAGTTGGTACCAAAGAGAAGGGAAAAATAAAAGGTAACAAACACAGGTGGCAGAGAACCCTCTAGCATCATTAAAGTCCAGGAATTCTGAGGGTAGGCCATCCCCCACACTTGAAGATCCCAGTAAAACTAAGTCACTGGTACACAGTAAGATAGAATTGTAGAAATTTGCTGTTGGGGCTAGGCATGGTGGTATGCATCAATCAGATAGCAGCCCAAGGTTCTCAAGAGGCTGATGCAGGAGTTCAAGGCCAGGGAGGCTACATAGTAAGATACTCTCAAGACAAACACACACTGGGAATTTTCTGCTGCTTGTTTCCATTTTTCATATCTTTTAGTGAAGTGGGAAGTTTTGAATGGTTACTAAAAAATAATTCTATAAGAATGATGGCCATGGAACAAATCTTTCCTAAGAAGCAACATTGCATTGGAATCACAAATAAAAAAACCCTCTGACCTCAGGCTCTGACCCAAAATTCTTAACTGCCACCTCCCGAGCCTGAAAACTGGGAAACACGAAGATGACGTGAAAAAAATTAAATGTCCTAAAACTGAAGTTCCAATCTGCAGCTACAGGGTCCTGTAAAGGGTGGAACTGGGACCGTAGTAGCAGCCTCCCTCAGGGCAACACACTGGGAAGTCAGCAGACTCCGACCCCAGCACCTACAGCAAGTGTTCCCAGCATCTCGGAAGAACTGATTTACTTTCAAAAAGAAAACAGCAACATAATTCTATTCCCTCATCTGAGCAGCTTCCTGGGATGGCCCACCTGGCACCAGCTGTGTGCTGTGCTGGGCTGTGACCACCTGGCACCAGGCCCTGTCCTAGCTTATTCTCCCACATCAGCTTTAGTGGACAAACCAAATAATCAAACCAGTAGAAAAGACTGGCAATATATTTAAATAAATAACTTTATTTAGCATACTTCAGGCTTTATATATGCCCACTGTATAACAACCAAAGTCCCATAAAGTCTAGCTGAGGCACAACCACCAATCGAGGCCCTTTGAAAAAAATCAAAGATAACAAAGTATCAGAGAAGTTCTGTTCTCCCAAAGAGAATTTAACAAACAAAAGTCCCTGATTCTTTAAGGTCCACAGTGGGAAATTTAGATTCCTTTTAAGGGCATGCCCAACAAGCTGATTAACCCATATTTAGAAAAATAAACCCCATAATTAAGAAAAATATATTGAATGCCTTTCATACCCAGAATGTACTAACACTTCAATATCAGAAGACAAACCACTCAGTCAGTCCCAGACCAATGTCAGTCTGTCCATGAGCATATGTATATCAAGTCCTCCCAGGGCACCATCCCCACACCATGAGGTGGCGAAGAGCTCCACCCTAATACCCTCTCATTGCCTGTGGTGCCAGAGGACGTTCCAGTGGGGACTAACAGCCATCTCTCTCCCTTGGTGAGCACAGACGGTAGAGGTCTTTAAATATCTGCTAGCTCAATAAGCCAAGTTTTCAAGTTCTGATGCTATGAAATGGCTAACCTCAAAAAGCACTTGAACTCTGTCACTGTCCAAGCAATAAATAGGTGGATAAGAGTTACAGGCACCTTCAGTGGTGGGACCATGGCCTGGGGGTGTAGAGCCTAACATGAGGAATGAGTAGGTCCTCACATCCTTCAAATCAGGCAACAGTAATTAAGCCTCTGTTCCAGGCTGCAGAGCACTGTCAAATGCAATGACATGGAAAGCCACCCTTCAATGTCTTCTCACATGTGGCTCATGAGCAGATCTCACTGAGAAACACAGTGCCCTCCCTCAGTTCCTAGTATTAATCTTCACATGATGAGGGACCACTTGGGGCAATGATAGACGCTGGCTATTTGTCTGTCATGTAGAAGCATATATTAACCCAATGGGAGAACTAATAAGCAATGCCCAGCTCCTCAGTGCAAAGCCTGCATTCTTGATATTTCCAGCTGTACAGTCGACCCAGGGCTCACAAGAGCTCTCCATTTCAGAGAACCTCACACATGATGAAGCTGGACTACCAGTATCTTACAAAATTGGTGCAAAATGGAATCTTTCTTGACTGCCAAGAGTTAGGGACACAGAGTAGAATCTAGATCACCGAGTATCAGCAAAGGACAGCTGACTTCTCATTACAAATGTTACATAAAAGGACAAGAATTATTTTATTCACACCCAATCTCATGGCTGAAAGCAAAGCCACCTTTTGGATGTGGGGAGCCTGGCACTGTGAGGAGCTCCAGCTGGTCATCAGGCTTCACCAGTCACTGAAGCCCAGCTTCTCAGCTTCTGCTTGCTTACCTCCTGGGGAGACACAAGCGACTGAAAACCTTTTGTTGTTTTTAAAATTAAAAACAGAGTAATGTGTATTAGAAAAGATAGCACAGAAAAACTGTGGCTTCAGCTCAGTCCGACCAGGTCCGAGTCATGGTGCAGGTTAGAATTCATCTGGCTGCCAGGCTCATGGCCAGGGTAGTCTTTCTCCTTCCTCATTCCCCACTCCATATCAGGGCATGAAGGCGGTGGGCAGAGTCCTGGGGCCGTCCTTTCAGTGGAATGCATACAGCAGCAGCAGAATGGTACAGATGCCGATGACCCCTCCAAGGATGAGCGAGTCGCGTCGCTTCCTAAGGTTGATCCTTTGGATCAGGCTGTTCACAGCAGGAAAACGGTCTTTGGGAAAGCTTGTTAAGGTCATACTTGAGAGAAGTCTCTTTAATGAAAAGTCACAGGAACCACAAACAGCCATCGTGGGGAAGAGAAGAGCAGACCGCATTCCCAAACTGAGGCAAACTCAACCCACCCAGGCTGCCAGTGCACAAGCAAGAGAATGGAAAGAGAATCAGTGGAGAAAATAAGGATAGTGCCAGAGTCCACCAGGGGTTCTGGGTGGCTCTGCAGCTCCTCTTTCTGTCCTGTGCCCTCCCCTCAGAGACAGGAGCACTGAAGAAAACCCGGACCCCTCTGCCCCAGGAAGGACTCCTTCGTGGACTCAGGCAGTTGAGCATTATAGTGAATTACTGAAAATTTTAGGTTTACTTTGCAGCGGTCAGAACTCTGTAGCAGGAAAATGGGCTAAATGCGCTAGCTGCTCTGAGAGAGAGAGAGACAGACAGAGAGAGAGAGAGAGAGAGAGAGAGAGAGAGAGAGAGAGAGAGAGAGAATGAGAATTAGGAGATTTTCATTTTTGGGTTTTCATAACCCAAAAAAGGACTTCAAGTCATTAACACACTCCCTGCATATATAGACCAAAGCAGCTGCACTGTTCCATATTTCTGGCAAGACACCCTTTCTGTTGGTAGAGTCATTACATCAAGTTCACAAAGACCAATGACCATGCATGTTTTTGAGAAACGTCCATGTACTTCCCCTATGACTCTTACAGGAACACATTTACTTGTGTATGTACAGATTCTACATATTGTATGGCCATGACTCTAAAATGTCTTCAATGTCTAGAGTACATACTCCTAGCATTAGTATATTTCTGAGTGGGGAAAAAAGGAACTGATAGAGAAACATTTAAAAATCAAAAACAGGACACACATATTAAAGTGACAAAACGTTTTACAAACTAAGACCTTCCCAAAGAGAAAATCCTTTGCTTTTTCTTGTTCAATGCAGGGGGCTGGAGAGATGGTCAAAGTTAAGAGTGCTGGCTGATTTGCCAGAAGACTCAAGTTCTGTTTCCACAACCCACAATGGGGAGTTTACAGCCACCTGTAACTCCACCTAAACCTTCGTTTGGCTTCTATGAGAGTGTACACACACACAGATTAAAAAATAAAATAAAATTGTGGCATCAGAAAACCTTGATTGCAGTGGCTACATTTTTTTTTTTTTTTTTTTTTTTAAAGCTTATCATGAGGACTATTTCTCTTGCCTCTAATAATCCAGTTTAGGGGTAAGGCTGAACTCAAGCTCTGCAGGCAGAGACAGCTATACTTAGGAAGTAAAACAGTCCTCCCCTTGGCTTGAGGCTTAGCTAGGAATGGGTACTGATTTAGGGGACTTGGTGACAGCAGCTGTTAGAAAGTGTGGGCTTTCCCTATGCCCTTCAAGCTGTGTTGTAAGGACGGAGGCAGGCTAACACAGAGAAATAAGGAGTTTTGTGATAGGATAGGACACTGGGAAATTACAGCCTCCTCTGATAGTTACACTGATGCAATCAAACCCAGGCCCTCATGCTTGTGAGGCAGGCACTTTATCACTGAGCCATCTTCTAAGGGCCTGAGCACACACTTTTGGAATGATGGGGGCTTTATTTACAGTAGGCAATACAATGGGGTTGGATACTGCTTCTTTAGAACAACTTGGGGCTTAGAGGACACATACATTCAGAGGGAAGGCACAAAGCACAGTGGTAACAAATTTGAATGGACAACTCAGTTTCAACTAAAATATAAAATAACCCAACTATCCAGCTACCATTTCAATTTTTTTATTTTATTTTATATTTTGAGAGGTCTCACAGGTATAACCCTGGCTGGCCTGGAACTTGCTCTGTAGACCAGGCTTGCCTTGAACTCAGAGATCTGCAGGTCTCTTCCTCCCAAATACTGGGATTAAAAAGGAATTGTGCTATCACATCTAGTTTGTATTTTATTTTCAATGGTTACACAAAATGCAAACACTTTTGCATTAAGTTGTCTCTGCTCTTGCTAGTGACTATACTTACAGTTTATAGTAAATATAGTATGCCAGCTTCTTCTGGGGCTGAGACCTAACCATCACCTGAGTACCCGAGTCTAGGAGTTTGTACTAGCCTGGGTGTTATATAACAATTTCCTGTGAGATTGAAACATTCCATCATGCAGGGAAACTCCTTAAGCCAGGGGCTAAACAACTCAATAGCTTCAGGAAGTCCTGGAAACTGATTGGCATCCACTAGGCCCCTCACTGCAAGCAGTGAGTAAGCAGTGAGTAAGCAGAACTAGCAAACAAAGGAGACACTTTAAAATCAGACCCGATGCCTAGAAGAAACTTAGACCAAAGCCATGTGGAAAGGACACTTTCTACCTGTTGAGTTGCCTGCAAGTTGTGCAGTGTGCTCTAAGTTTCCCAACTTTTGTGAGCTGTCACTCATGCTGGGGTGGGTCTGGTGATCCAGCTATCTATGAGTTACTTCTGCTCCTGTAAGTAACCCTGCATTCATATTTCTGTAAATGACAATAATAAAACTCATTGGTTCACCAAGTTGGACTCTGGTAGTATTTGTACTTTGGTCTATAGTGGTCTCTACATAGAGGGTAAGTAGATGAGTGTATTGCATCACCTCAGAAATGACTCACTATGCATTGACCCTTTATGTGAGTCCTTGAGATGCAAACTCACACTGGGCAACAGAGAAAGACATCACCTGAGGGGAGGGGGCAGTATGGTATGGTCTGATTTCATAGAAATGCATGAAAAATGCACTGGGGGCTGCGGAGATTGAATCAGTGGGTAACAGTGCTTACTGTACACACATGAGGAACTGAGTCTGCATACCCAGGACGCATATAAAATGCCCATACATAGTGCAAGCATCTGTCATTCTGGTGCTCCTGGGGCGGGGGGGGGGGGTGGGGAGATGGGAGGTAGGGATGGGTGATCCCCTAGAGGCTTAGGGACCAGCTAACCTGAGACACATTGCTTCATACAAGAAATCCTGTCTCAAACTAGTTGGAAAATGAAGCCAACACACATGTGGTGTGCTACAGAAACATGCAATGGATGCATGCATATACACACAGAGAAAGGAAAACCATAGGAATTTAAAATATAAACCTTCTATTTGCCATATATTTACTAGCAGTGGTTCTAGGCCAGGCCACTTTTCTGAGCCTAGTTGTTTATCTGAAAAGTAAAGAAGTTCCTGTTTTTCCCCTTTAATGGGAATGACAAACTGAGATATGAGTAGAATAGTACTGTATAAACTGTACAGTACTGTATGAACTGAGTGATTTGGGATTGTGGTTTTTGTACTAGACTAGTAAGAAAATTGGTAAAGGGCTGGAAAATGCCAAGCAAAATCCTTTTTTTTTTTTTTTTGTGGAGGAGGTAATAGATTGTCAGGATAAAAGTGTTGCTATACTAGCATTATGCTGACCCCGCCCTATGACAACTGGCAGGGTACACAACCAGCCTTCAGGCAGATACTTAGCTCAAAGGGCCCTGTGGTGCATGGCTACATAGTGCATTAAGTGGCCGCATAAGGACTCTGTAAACAGAAACCAGGAAAGCTGGGCCACACAGAGTTGGATCAGTGGCAGCTCCCAGACTCTGGTTTCAACCACCCCAACTGCTAAGCCTCATTCTAAACTGCTCCCTTTCCTAATAAACTCCACGTGGGTTTGCTGAGTTGTGTGGTTTGTGTTTCACTGCCCGAAGCTGCAGCTAAAAACAACAAAAAGTACCCTTGCATTACTGTGGACCAGATGATACTCAACTTTTGAAAATCTTAGGTCCTTCCTCACATCCACCTAAGAACCCTCCCACCCCCTGCTTTGAAGCAATCCTATTTTGAGTAGGGAAGAGTTTAAAACAAGTAGAAATTCTGCTCTCAACTTGGTCTTGTGTAGTCACCACATTCTACCAAAACTCACAAACAGGCACACCTAGGGTCCTCTCCCTTCCAGGTACCTGTGACTGACTTGTCCTCCAAAGTGGCAAATTAGAAAACGTGTGTTGGGGTGGTTAAGAACAACACATGCAGGGAGTACTAACCTGGACCCAGAACTTTTAAAGACAAAAAAATTGTGAATAATTTTACAAATCTAAATCTTTAGTGTTAAATATCTGGAGTGCTGTCTCCTAGAAATGTTGCTAAATAGAAGTTTAACACAAAGTAGGAAGTCATCACGGGATGTAATTGCTAAGGGGTTCTATAGCTACTGGTGACCTGCATCCCCCATAAAACAGAAAGAAAAAAACAAAAACAAAAACAAAAACAAACAAACAAACAAAAAAAACCAAAAAACTTCATCCCACCAACAGATTTCAAAAAGGATACTGGCCAAAGTGTTCATTTTGCTGTGAATTGACTTGAGCATTCCTCTCTGTGATGTCATATTTTCTTTTGTTGCCATAGCAATGCTTCAAGTGGGGTGAGGGGGGAGAGACAATTGAGTTGACACTGGGGAATTACCTTGCTCAATTCATCACATCTCTAAAAGTACAGTGAGCAGCCAATCCTGGAATGACCAGGCAGGAAATGGGTACAAATCAGTGCCCAGCTACCCTGCCATTGTCTTTTTCTGACTTAACCCAGTTATCCAATGAAGGTTTTTTTGTTAGTAGTCATATTGTGTTTTCTTCAAAGCAACTAATGAAATGAGACATTAAGAGACAACTCAAACATTACAAAGCTGCTTCTTAAATTAATTAAAATAATTTTAATCAGGAAAAACTGCTTATGAGGAAAGCAAAGAATCACAATCATAAAAACAGAGCCCAATTATGTATCCACATTTAACCAGCTCTCAGCATATAAGCAAACAAGGTTTCAAAATTCTAGAGAATCAATAGGGAGATCTGGGGATTCACTAAGCATAACTGTGAAAGGGGAAAGTCACTTTTTCACAGAACGCAGCCTCTTCCTGTGACTACTCTATCCTATTGAGACTCCGAGATAAAACTTTTTGTTATCACTTCCATGATCATGCATTTTCAAGTCTGACTGCCACAGACATTAGACTCCTACAGGGTAAGGTTAGTATCCACTTTGATGTAACACATAGAATAATGCTTTAGATATTAACATTAAAAAAAATTGAAAGGGGAAGTTTTTGGTAGAAATTAGATAAAGAATCATTGTACATATATGAAAGTCAAATAAAAGATACCCTAAAATTTATTTTAAAGAGTCACAGAAATTGAGCAGAAATGGTAGCTAGACATACTTTACCCTTGACCTTTTTCCTCCACAGAGTTACATCAGAACAAAAACACTCATGCTGGGAAAGGGTCATCTGAAGCCCTGGTCCCCTTGTAGACTCTAAGGAAGATAGCTGGCTGAAGGGGATACATATACCTTCTCAAGCAAGAGACTCAAAGAAACACAGGGAGTCTGGCAGTAGGAACCCCTGAACTCTGTGTCCTGAGGTTGCAGTAATGGACTTAATTGCCCTGTACTTGCAGAGAGACTTATGGGCTATTAGTGCAATGCTCTGCTACTGAAGGGGACAATCTTTGGGACCATCCTTGCGACCATCCTCACTAGTGAGTGGCCAGCTTCATGGGAAAAGCCTCTGAAGAAACAAGGCATTCTTGATGGGAGATGTCATTCTGTAAATACATTTTTCTTATTGGTTAATGAATAAAGTACTGTTGGCAAATAGGAAGGCAAGATAGCCGGGACTAGGAGACAAGGAGGATCCTGGGAGATGTAGTAAGGAAAGTCAAGCTGTAAGGACTTGAGAGGAAGAGGTCCAGACCCTCTCTCTGGTAAAAATAAAACCATGTGGAAACACTCAGATGAATAGAAATGGGTTAATATTTAAGACAGAGCTAGCCAATAAGAAACACTAGGGCAGACCTGGCTCTGGGGCCAGCTGGCAGGAAAACTACTCATAACAAAATGGCGCCCAACATGGGGCCATATTCTAATGAAGAGAAGTGCTAGAGGGATGACAAATTAATCAATACTTCAATCTCACGATTGAGAAGACAAAGATGTGTACAGAGAGACCTAAAAGGATATTTACTGAAGCATTTTGGAATAGTGGCGGGGGGCAACAAAATATCAGAAACACTCCACAAAGCCAGCGACCTCAAAGAACAAACTCAGAAAGAATGAGCTCAGTTTGGCACAGGCTGTTTGGAAAAAGCTAGGAGTAGCTGTCCAAAGAGCTGGTCAGAAGATGGTAACTGAGGCCAGGAAAAAAAAATGAGAGTTATTGACAGGCAAATAGGCGATACATAGAAGGAAGCAGAAGAATGAGATTATCTTTTACAATACTGCCAAGAAGACCCAGAAAACTAGCTGTGGGGCTCTGGCCAAGGAAGGCTAGGAGCATATTTTGTCCCTAAAGCACACAAACTTCACACTTGTGGTCTTGTCAATAGCAGAGATGAAGGCCAGGCAGTGGCATGAAGATCCTGGAATCCAGGCCATCATCTAGGAGCTGAGGCCTTAGCTTCCCAGATGCTGGGATTATAGGCATGTGCCCCTCACTGGCTCAGAGGATCCTTTGGAAGTCTCAGGAAGAAAGGAAAGCAGCAGAAGAAATGGAAATTGACCAAATTCTGCTTGAAATGAAAACAAGGGCCTTGAACAAAGTACTCCTACTTTAAAATAGCTTTATGGTCTTACAGAAAGTAAAAGAATTCAAACACAGGCTGAGTAATGAGGACACTCTGAAACATATAGGCCTGTTTTTTAAAGGGGGACTACCATTATCTCATGTGCACTCTGACTCACAAGTGGATAGACATTAAAAAATAATTTCCACAAAGCACTTTGTATTCCTTGGAGAATGGATATTACTTTAAGTTATTGCCTTGTTGAATATGCATGATTTCCAGGACCACATAAAGTCTATCTAGACATACTTTCCCATCTCATCCCATCATCTGGAGTTGATGAGTGAAATGTAGGCTATTATTTCAAGTGTCAAATATTTAGAGTTAAAACATAAGCTTCATATAATATATAATGCTTTAAAATGATAAATCATTCATATGCTAACCGAAACTTCAGTTTTCTTATTATTATGAACTAAGCTTAATTACCTATCTAAAAAATTTAATTTACCTTGTGTGTCTGTGTGCTGCATGCATGCATGTGTTACACGTGCATGCTTCTCTGTGTGCCATGTGTGCATGTAGACAGACAGAGGTCAGAGGATGATATCAGGAGTTGGTTCTCTTTCTTCTACCATGTAGCCCCCGAGGGTCCAGTTGTCAGATTTGGTGGCAGGCTCCTGTATCTTTTGAGCTATCTCACTGTCTCAGAGCAGTGAGCCCTCAATATTACTTAATAGTCATGTGACCACAGGCAAAGTCCTTAATTTCTTTTCATTTTGGAAACAGTATCTACTGATGGATGTCTATCTCATGAACCAGTTACTAAGAAGATTAAATGTCCCTATAAAAGAAGGGCACAGTAGACATGCATTACCATCTAGTGAAATTCCTATCTCTAAGGAGCATCATGACTTGACCTTTACTCTAGTGAACAGGATTGGCATGATTTGTTTATTAAGTGTACAAACAACAATGAAATAAAAGAAAAACTATTCCTACCTTATTGTTTCTTCTATCAAACGATCAGAGCTGGGAAAAAAAAAGAAAATTCAAATTTTGGAAATATTAAACTTATACTTAAAATATTTATTTTTTCTATGTATATAAACTTTAGAGCCTTTTCTGTACATAGAATAATTAAGACTTTTTTAAGCACATGCAGAGAAAATTCTGAACTCAGAAATTAATTCAGCCACACATGAAGTAATTTACATTTTGCTTTTATTTGTCAGCTTAAATCTGTTTTTTGTGACATTCCTTATTATTAAAGTCTGGCAAGTTTTAATGACAACATCAAGAAATGAAAGTTCTTCGATCTAGATAATTGCCACTACTATCCATTCAGAAGCTAAGAATTACAACCAACTTTTTAAGACAAGATGACAAATGTAGTTCTGGTGCCTCTAAATAGTAGTATTCAAACCTCAAAGTTACCTCCTATTTGGGGAAATAGTTTTTTACAAACACACAAACAAACACAACTAAACCAAATCTCAGCTCCTGAAACTTTAGAATCCAAGAATGTGAACAAAAGAACAAATATGCCTCCAACACCACACCATGTAAGAAATACCCATTCCAGTAGGAATCATATGGAGAGATAAACTTGTGACTTAGTAATGGAACTTTACCAAACTTAACATCAGAAAACACAGAAACAAATTTCCAGAATTTGCCATTTATTTGGCAGATGTAAGGCATGGAGTAGCACAGAAATATTTGCATTTCCCCAGTCACTGCCTTCCAAAAGAATTACTCTGTTTACTCTATAAAACAGAACATTGAGGTTTCAATTTAACAGTGATACTAAATTCAATAAAGGTGAATTCCATAAGAATGCCATAAATACCTTGCATAAGTCCTACAATTAAAAATTCAAAAAGTAACAGAGATAGTAACTAAAAGCCTGGAATTCACTACAAAGACCAGGCTGGTCTCAAACTCAGAGATCCACTTGTCCCTGCCTCCTGAGTGCTGGGATTACAGGTGTGAGCCACCACCACCCAGCTTACTTCGAAGTATTTTGACCAAACATCTTAGTAGGTAAAATAAAGAATTTAGAATCAACAGGTGTGTTGAAGTATAGCAGAAATTAAATGCTTCAGAGTTTCCATTTATTTTCTGTTATACGAATGTTTTAAAAGGACTGGAGGGCTGGGAATGTAGCTCAGTTGGTAGGGCATATAAATTGGGTGCAGTGGCACATGCCTGTAACTCCAACACTTGGAAAGTAGAGGCAGGAGAATCGGAAGTTGAAGGTTACCCTCAGCTACAGAAAGAGTTCAAGGACAACTTGACATACAAGAGACCTTGCCTCCAACAAACAAATGAACAGGACTGGGAACCTTGAGATGAATCACAATATTCTATAAAAATAGAACTCTGTAATTGGTTTTTTAAATCCTCTTACATATGGAGTAAGAGCTAACTAGAAATATAGCCTACATTATGGTCAAGGTTCGAACGTGTGGCTGTCTGAAGCCATCTCATGGATTTTTCAGACTATAAAGCTCACAGAAACAATCCAAGAGAAAGTGGCTTGCACATGCCATGAACCTATAGGTATGGTTGATCCAGATCAAAGAATTTTGATGGCTCTTAGCTGATCTTTAGTTAAGGTCTCTTTTCACAGTTCTAAAAACTTAAAAAAGTGTATGTGTAAGTGTGTGTGTATTAGAGCTCCAGAGGATTTGATGCCCTTTGGCCTCCACAGGCACCTGTATACACACACACACACACACACACTTACACATAGCTCTAACCATAAACAACTTACACATCTCAAAGCTTAGCTAAAAAGCTGTTCCCTTATGAAGCTTCCCCAGATGCACTTGTCTACACAGGCAAACCCAACTCTTCTTTACATTACATTACGCCCTCACATCAATGCATCAGGAATCTAATATTTAAAGCACTTCAGATATTATTCTACAGAGAAAGAAAAGGTTTTCACATAAACTCTCACTATCTCAGAGGATATCATACTTATTTGTTTACTACTTCTCTAAGCAGAGTGAGTTCCCAGGGGTAGAGACTGGGTCTGATGCATATTTGATTCCCTAGAGTCTAGTACAGTACCTAGCACACAGGAGATACTCATTAAATGCTTAATAAATGAATGAATAAACGAGTAACAGACACTTCTTGCATTAACAAAATATCAATCACGATTAGCACTGAAATAATCCTTATACTCTTTATAATTTTTCCATAGAACACACACTTTCTATAATCATAATTTTATAACCCTTCATTATGACACAGTTGCTCCATTTAAAATAGTCTTTTGTTTAAGAAGGTTGCAGGCTGGCTGGGTGGTGGTGGTGCACGCCTTTAGTGCCAGCACTCAGGAGGCAGAGACAGGTGGATCTCTGATTTCGAGGACAACCTAGTCTAAGAGTGAGTTCTAGGACAGGCTCCAAAACTACACAGAAAAACCCTGTCTCGGAAAACCAAAAAAGAAGGTCATGTGCCAACTGAAGACAGACCTGATTTCACTATTGAACTAATAAGTTCAAAATAAAGAAAAATGAGCTGTGTATAATAGCCCCAACTATGAACCAGCTCTAGGGAAGTGGAGGCAGGTCATCCTTAGCTAATCAGATCATTCTGCTTTGCCATTTTTTCAATGTTGCAGGTAAGTGAACCACTTGAGACAAATCTGCAACAGGGAACCTTGAACTACCCCATGAACAGAATGAAAAACACACAATGAAATAAATGCCATCTGTTCGCATAACTTGAAACGCTAATGACCCGAGGGATCCCTTAGAATTTTTTCAATATACTTCCCAATTTTCACTTCAAAACACTGCTGTCTGAGAACTACTTAACTATCATCATGTCCTTATTGTCACATGGAATGGCATCTCTGAAGTCAAGAGCCAAACTAAGTTTTTTATTACCTTTGAGTTTTAACTGTCTATAGTGTGTGGCCATAGCAATAATAAACATTTTTTATCAAATACTACTTTGTAAAAGTTTTCCCTCTGCCTATGGCACTTTCTCCCTGGAGTAGCATTTCACACATGCAAGCACAAAAACAAAGAATATGTATGCATGCACACAAACTGTTTCCTTGTAGTTACATGTGAATAACAGGCAGCAAATATGAACTTACAACCAAGGCTGATGTATCAACCTGATGTCCAGATAGATCATGCCAGCCCAGTTTTCCTGCCAGCAACCCCACAGCATATAACATTCAATAACACGCCTCTGTTTCAATAAAACTACATAAGTTAATGGAGTTCATAAAAACTCAAGAACGCTAAGGTCAAAACCCTGGAAGCCAGAATTCTGTATTATTTCACTTACAGATATTATACCTGACCATTATATTGCTTGAATTCTATGATACTTACTAAACAACCTACAATGCAACTTTTTAGAGGCTAATTTTTATTATATTTTAAAATTATGTATACATAGGTATGTGCCTGACTGCAGGTCCTATAAAAGCCAAAGGCATTGGTTCTCCTGTAGTGTTACTGGCAATTGTTAACTACTTGATGTGGATGATGGGAAATGAAACTCCAGTCCTCTGCAAGAGTAACATACACTCTGAACTGCTAAGCCATCTCTCCAGCCCCATAAACACACACACACACACACACACACACACACACACACACACACACACACACACACAAAACCATGTAAAAAGGGTTGTTGGTGTAGACCCTTTCTCTTTCAGTATTTACATTTCTTGTCTTTTTGGTTGTGAACCTAGCCTTCAGTGGCTGAGCCATCTGTACAGATATACTATGTATTTCTGCTAATCTTACATATGTACTATATTCTCATATACAGGAAGGGCTTACACAGCCTCGAGCATGCATTATCTTAGCAACCCTGTGCAATCTATGCCATCAGAATCACTTTGAGGAGCAGCACAGAAACAACAAATCAGAGGAGCTGGGCTCAAATCTCTGTACGTCCCAGACTGACAAGTACTACACAGTAAGACCCTATCTCAAAAAAGAAAAAAAAAAAAAAAAAAAAAATCTACTGGTGATCTAGCTAGGTTAGTAGAGTGCTTGCCAAGCATGCATGAAGTTCTGAGTTCAACTCCCAGTACTACATAAAGTGGGCATGGAAACACAAACCTGTAATAGGCAGGAGGATCACAAGTTCAAGGTCTCTGACTACATAATGAGTTCAAGGCTAGCCTGGAATATACAAGACCCTGTCTCAAAACAAATCGAGCCTACCTAAAATATTTCTGCAAAAAAACTTTAGACAAATAAAATTAAAAATTCCAAAGGCTTAAACATAACTGAATAATGTCACATGAAAAATAATCAACCATTAAAAAGCAATAAAACAATTCTTTCCTCATTCATAGACACGGTTAGACCCAAGGTAACACAAATAGACAATGTGTACATTCTCAGTATCTGCTAAGTGGTCAATAAATGAAAACAAACAAGATATCAACTAAATACTATAATCAATCTTATTTAAGTATGATATGTTTTGTACAATAGTTCTATATCTGAAAAAATACTGGAATTCTTCGAAATGTTTTTAATTTTATAAAATGACAACTTTAATGGCATTCATCTTTATGTAACACAAGCTCTTATTCCACTTTAAAAGTAAAAAAAAAATGAGAGAAGTCAAGTGATGTACTTTCAAAGTAACTGGTCTTCCAGTTCTCTATAAAATCAGGCCATGATGGTTCCTTGTTACAACAAAGATAAAAATTTAAAGAAACACTCACAGGAAAGGCAGTGAGTGCAGTGTGGGACAAATTGCAAACATTAGGGCTTGTGTGTTCAGTAAAACCTATACTATTAAACAGTTATGAGACCTCGACCTACATCCTCTCCAGGTCTTGTTTCTTCATCTGTATACAGTGGCAACCTTCTCAGAGACTAACTAGAGAGTTTAAAATTTCACTTTTCTCTGTGTGTATGTCTGGTATTGCACACATGTGTGCAGGTGCAGTTGTCAGTGCATATGTGAAACCAGAGGAGGGTGTCAGGTGCCCCCCTCTACCACTTTCTGCCCTATTCCCTGAACCT